GTTTATAAATAGATATAGATAAATAGATCGATATAGATAGATGGATGGATAGAGCAAATCGATACATGGATAGATAGATAGATGATAAATGGATGGAGAGATAGATGGACCAATAGTTGATAAAAGGATAGAAAGATGGAGGATAAATGGATGGACAGATGGATGTGTAGATAGATGACAGATAGATAGAGTGATACTGCAGATAGATAGATGGATAAATAGATGAGTAGACGGATGATGGATAGAGTCATGCAGAGACGGAAGTGTGAAGGAGGTGTGAGCGGAGAGAGGGAGAGAGAGAGAGAGAGAGAAAGTTCTGGCTGTGTTTGTGGTGACTCATCAGATTCTGAGCAGCTCGGCCACAGAAGAAGAAGAAACAAACTTCAATAGACTGAGAGATGGAGGGATGGATGGAGGGATGGATGGATGGATGGAGGAGGATGGAGGGAGAGATGGATGGAGGGATGGATGGGAGGGAGGGAGATGAGGATGGAGGAGGATGGAGGATGGAGGGAGGATGGATGGATGGAGGGAGGGATGGAGGGAGAGATGGAGGGATGGAGGGAGAGATGGAGGGATGGATGGATGGACAGATCGATGTGGAAAGATCAGGACTAAAACATGTAGAAAATTCAATCGTCAATACTGAAATCCTACAGTTTCAGAATGAACCAGATCTATAGAAGAACTGATACAAGACCTCAAGTTACTACTACTACTACTACTACTACTACTGCTACTACTACTACTGCTACTACTACTGCTACTACTACTGCTACTTACTACTGCTACTACTACTACTATACTACTACTATACTACTGCTACTACTACTACTGCTACTACTACTACTACTGCTACTACTACTACTACTACTGCTACTACTTACTACTCTGCTACTACTACTTACTACTGCTACTACTACTACTACTACTGCTACTACTACTACTACTTCTACGCTACTACTACTTACTACTACTGCTACTACTTCTGCTACTACTACTACTACTGCTTCTACTGCTATTAGTACTACTACTACTTACTACTACTACTACTACTACTTACTACTACTACTACTACTTACTACTGCTACTACTACTACTACTACTACTGCTACTACTACTACTACTACTACTGCTACTACTACTACTACTACTGCTACTGCTACTGCTACTACTACTACTACTTACTACTGCTATTATTTCTACTATTTCTACTACTACTACTCTACTCCTACTACTACTAACTCTTACTACTACTCTACTACTAGTACTACTTCTACCACTACTACTACTACCTACTACTACTACTACTACCTACTACTACTTACTACTACTACTACTACTCCTACTACTACTACTACTACTACTACTACTACTACTACTACTACTACTACTACTACTACCTACTACTACTTCTACTCCTACTACTACTTCTACTCCTACTACTACTACTACTACTATACTACTACTACTACTACTACTACTACTACTATACTACTACTACTACTACTACTACTACTACCTACTACTACTACTACTACTACTACTACTACTACTACTACTACTACTACTACTACTACTACTACTACTTCTACTCCTACTACTACTACTACTACTACTACTACTACTACTACTACTACTACTACTCCTACTACTACTACTACTACTACTACCATGACTGTTATTGTTAATACTCCTGCTGCCTGGTGTTTTATGTTTTTGAATGAACCGTGTAGTATTTTGAATATTTTAATTCATCTCTGGTGATTTTTCTAAGTCGAACTCCAAATTAAACGTCTGGTCACGGCTCAGATTTCGATCCCGTTGTGTCGGCTGAGCTCATTAGTTTTATTTTGAAGCCCCGCGCCCGCGTGTTCGTCGTGCGTTTATTGGAGTCTGCGTTCGTTGGTATTCTGAGCACAGCGGGAGTTTCTCTTTCACGCGTTCGTTATGTAAACTTATTAAAATACACTGGGACACGCTTCAGTCTCTTTTGTTTTCACTGTGGACGTGGACGGACAACAACACTGGGACTTTTACTCTGATAATATGGAAATTAAACTTGAATTAAAAGTTTATGTAGAATTATTATCAGAACAACAGTTTCCTCTTGTGGACACATGATGAAAACAGCTCTTCTTGTTACACTTGCATCTGGTTCATCCAATATAACTGCGATATCCATATTTAATAAGTTAATTCATTCATTATTTAGCAGTACAATTCTAGTAATACGCTATAGTACTAGTTGTAGTAGTAGAATAGTAGTAGGACTAATGGTAGTGGTAGTATAATAGCAGTAGGAGAGTAGTAGTAGATTTAGTAATAGAAATAGTAGTATATTTCTAGTTTTGCATCTTTTTGTACAAAATCAGTTGTTTGGTGTATCTTGGAATAAACTTAAAGGTTGTATGGAGGATTTTTTAAAATATTTTTTCAAATTGTCAATGAAAGTTCAAAATAGAATTATAAAGAAGAAGCAGCCTTGTAATTATGATGACCAAAAAAAAAAAAAAAAAGAATGAAAATCCATCAACTGTGGACGTAGTGAGGGCAGATAAACATCAGCCAATAGAAAACAAGGCTACCTCTTTATCTATTGGCTGTTAGGTTGTCAATCAAATTCCCTACGTTTCTAGCGTCGCTGACTTGCCGACGCGCTTTTATGTTCGCGGTTCATGTTTAGCGGTTCTTGGCATCTTTTTTGAACTGTAGCTCTCAGTTTGCACAAATTTTGTTTTAATGGCAGAGAAGAATTCAGAATTCGGTTCGCCGCAAAAGAAAGTCAGTTTTTGATGTTGCTGCAAGAAGAAGAAAAGGGGAAAAGGTGTGAAGCGCAACATTTAAAAAAAGGACAAACAGTCGCTGCATTTCTCTTTCCTTGGAAAATCTTCTATACAACCTTTAAACTCAGCATCAGAATAAATGAAAATACAGAGTTAACTTTCAATTTAGCATTTTGAGTGAACTTTTGGCATCAATATTTTAAGGAACCAAAAGGGATGTGCAAAAATATCAAGATATATCGATATATCGTATCGTTTAATGTGAGGATACAGTATCGATATCGTGGGCTGCTGTATTGATATATCACCAAGAGTGTTTTTTGGTTTATTTTACTCAATTATTTGTTTCTTCTCTACAGTTTTGTTGCTTGTTTATAGGAAAAAACATTTTCACATTTTTGACATTTTCACTGTTTTGATGATTAAAATGTTTGTTTCATAAGAACTTTACACAAGAAGAAGTGGTTTAACAAAGACTTTTAGTATCACAGACTTGATTTAGACTTTATTTTTTATTGAACCGTATCGAATCGATTTGAAATATATCATATCGAATCGAAAGTGCACTGTATCAAGATATGTATCGTATCGGCAACTTCTTAATGATGGAACCAAGAATCAGTTTCTCAGTTTCCAATATACAATTGCAATTTTTTTGTGTATTTTATCTTATTTTAATATGGTTTAGCTCCATAAAATGTTTCTTTTATGGAGCTAAATTGTTCCCTGACTGTGGGAAAGATGTTCTGGCGTGGGCAGTGTTGTGTTTTAGTTTTTGTTTTTCCTTGAGTGATGCACAAAAGAGAGAGTCAGTGTCTGTGTGAATGTTCATGTTGATGTCTATGGGCATCACACAGAACCAGAGATAAACCAGGTCTAACCAAAGCCTGAACCAGGACTAAACCAGGACTAAACCAGGTCCAACCGCACTTATCAAATGAAACAGAAAACACACACCAAAGCTCTTGTCGAGGTGCAAATACAAAGAACAGCAATTTAAAAGTTACAAAAATGCATCGCACTCAGATGGCCGATGTCCAAAAAACTTTTTCGTTTTTTAAATTACTTTTCGGCAAAAAGCCGGTTTGCTGTGGTCCAAAAAAGAAAAATGATCTGGCGATGGCTTTTTGCCGAAACGTAATTTAAAATAAAAAAAGGTTTTTGGACATCGGCCATCTGAGTGTGTCTGCACTTTTATTTTAAAACCAGGACTAATCCAGGTCTAAATAAAGTCTAATCCAGGTCTAATCCTGGTCTAAACCAAGGGTAAACCAAGGGGTAAACCAGGTCTAAACCATGACTAAACCAGACTAAACCAGGTCTAAACCAGGTCTAAACCAGGTCTAAACCAGGTCTAAACCTGGTCTAATCCTGGTCTAAACCAAGGGGTAAACCAGGACTAATCCAGGTCTAAACCAGGACTAAACCAGGTTAAACCACCAGGACTAAACCAGGTCTAAACCAGGACTAAACCAGGTCTAAACCAGGACTAAAACCAGGACTAAACCAGGTCTAAACCAGGTAAACCAGGTAAACCAGGTCTAAACCAGGTCTAAACCAGGTCTAAACCAGGACTCTAAAACCAGGTCTAAACCAGGTCTAAACCAGGTCTAAACTAAACCAGGACTAAACCAGGTCTAAACCAGGTCTACTTAACCAGGACTAAAAACCAGGACTAAAACCAGGTCTAAACCATGACTAAACCAGGACTAAACCAGGTCTAAACCAGGTCTAAACCAGGACTGAACCAGGACTGAAACCAGGTCTAAACCAGGTCTAAACCAGGTCTAAACCATGACTAAAACCAGGTCTAAACCAGGTCTAAACCAGGACTAAACCAGGACTAAACCAGGTCTAAACCAGGTCTAAACCAGGTCTAAACCAGGTGAACCAGGACTAACCAGTCCAGGACTAAAACCAGGTCTAAACCAGGAAACTAAACCAGGACTAAACCAGGTCTAAACCAGGAAACTAAACCAGGTCTAAACCAGGTCTAAACCAGGTAAAACCCGGTCTAAAAGAGGACTAACAGAGAACTAAACCAAGATTTATAAAAACTGAACTAATCCAAGAATCTTACACATTTCAGAACAAGTTTGTAGGAGTTTAAACTCCAGAGTCTGCAGCTTTTACACAGAATAAAACCCCCACATTTATCTCGATTATTCCTGTTTCAGTTTTGTTTTTGATTTTAATAAAAGTGTTTTTTTCCAGAGATGGACTCGTTCCGTATCCTGCTCTACACTCTGATCTTCCTCATCAGCGTGTTTGGGAACCTCCTCATCATCATCGTCCTGGCCCTGAACAAACGCATGAGGACGGTGACCAACTCCTTCCTGCTGTCGCTGGCGGTGAGCGACCTGATGATGGCGCTCTTCTGCATGCCCTTCACCCTCATCCCAAACATCCTGGAGGACTACATCTTCGGAGAGGCCATGTGCAAGATCACCGCCTACTTCATGGGTAAGACGAACGGGATTAGTCTGAGACCTGGTTTAGACCTGGTTTAGACCTGGTTTAGACCTGGTTTAGACCTGGTTTTAGACCTGGTTTAGACCTGGTTTAGACCTGGTTTAGACCTGGTTTAGTCCTGGTTTAGTCCTGGTTTAGTCCTGGATTAGTCCTGGTTTAGACCTGGTTTAGACCTGGTTTAGACCTGGTTTAGACCTGGTTTAGACCTGGTTTAGACCTGGTTTAGACCTGGTTTAGACCTGGTTTAGTCCTGGTTTAGACCTGGTTTAGACCTGGTTTAGACCTGGTTTAGTCCTGGTTTAGATCTGGTTTAGACCTGGTTTAGACCTGGTTTAGACCTGGTTTAGTCCTGGTTTAGTCCTGCTTTAGACCTGCTTTAGACCTGGTTAGACCTGGTTTAGACCTGGTTTAGTCCTGGTTTAGTCCTGGTTTAGTCCTGGTTTAGTCCTGGTTTAGTCCTCGTTTAGACTTGGTTTAATCCTGGTTTAGACCTGGTTTAGTCCTGGTTTAGTCCTGGTTTAGAAATGGTTTAGACCTGGTTTAGACCTGGTTTAGACCTGGTTTAGACCTGGTTTAGACCTGGTTTAGACCGAGTTTAATCCTGGTTTAGTCCTATTTTTTCTCTGTAAATCCAGGTTTTGTTCTGGTCCAGTTAATGTATTTTCTAGTATATGTTTTGTCTAGTCCTGGTTCTTTTCTAGTCCTATTTTAGTCTCACTCTGTTCCACCTTGTGATGTCATGTGGTGACACAGGATGTGCTCCACTGCGTTTTTAAAATCCACACACCTTAATTAGAATCATTTGGATAATTTCAGCCTTGGATCTGTCAATCTTTACGGAACTAAACAGGAGCAATCGTGTTGTGCTTTGGTCCACTTCCTCCCACCTGTGCTGTGCCTGGACAGGGTTCGATTACACTCACACTGGACAAACGTACGGCGCTTTAGGGTGATCTGTGCTCAGGCACGGTTCTTTTTTAAAAATTTTTATCACTTTATTTTTATTATATTTGACAGGTTTGTAAACATAAGAAAATATAAAAAGAGGAGAAATAATAATGACAATGGAAGGAAATAAAACAAAACAGAAGCCTAGGTGACATTGATTATTCTACTTCTGCATATATAATGTCCATTTTTCCCATTTCTTCTTCATTTGTGCCTCTTGCAACCTCAGTCTATAAGTTATCTTTTCCATTAGATATATGTCCTTTATTGTAGATGTCCACTGATCCTTTGAAGGCACAGAAGTTGTGCCCCAGTTCCTGGTTATTGATTTTTTGGCCGCTAATGACATGACTTTGAAAAGATATATATCGCCTTGGTGAATAATGTTTTCTGAGAAGTTGCATAGATAGACCAGTTCAGGCGACAAAGGGACAGGATATCCCAGCACCTGCCCCAGTACATCACAAACCATCTCCCAAAATACAGTAATATTTGCACAATTCCAAAATATATGAGAATGGTCTACATTAATCTCTCCACATTTCCGCCAACACATTTGATGTATCCTTAACTGCTTACTCTTTAATTTAGGTGTAATAAAGAATCGAATCAGGTTCTTCCAGGCAAACTCCCTCAATGTTCGAGAGCAGGCACGGTTCTAAAGTCCTAGTGTGAGTGCAACCAAATAATAAAGAGTTACTCAAACGTGTGAATGAAACAAAACACAACTTCAGCTCAGTTTCTGAGGAGGAAACAACATTAGACCACAGCTTAAAGCTCACAAGAGTCAGTTTAGTGTGATACAGGAGCTATAAAAACCAATAGAAAAACTCTTAACTTGATTTCAAGAGTCAAATGATCCACTCACACTGAACTTCTCTAAATGTCCAACTCCTGCATCCACAAAAAACACCACAAAACTCTGATCCACACAAAACTCTGATCCACACAAAACTCTGATCCACACAAAACTCTGATCCACACAAAACTCTGAAACACACAAAACTCTGAAACACACAAAACTCTGACACACACAAAACTCTGAAACACACAAAACTCTGATCCACACAAAACTCTGAAACACACAAAACTCTGAAACACACAAAACTCTGAAACCCACAAAACTCTGATCCTCTGAGCTTTTCAAAACAATCACCACAGATTTAAGTTTCAATGTAAATATGGAAATTTTCACTTTCGAGTTTTTACAGAAACATGAGAAGAACTTGTGAACCTCCACCAACTGAGAAAATACTACTACTACTGCTACTGCTACTACTACTACTGCTACTACTACTGCTACTACTACTACTGTTACTACTACTACTGCTACTACTACTACTACTGCTACTACTACTACTGCTACTACTACTGCTACTACTACTACTGCTACTACTACTACTACTACTGCTACTACTACTACTACTACTACTACTACTGCTACTACACTACTACAACTACAACTACAACTACTACTACTACTACTACTGCTGCAACTAATACTACTGCTTCTACCACAGCTGCTTTTTATATAGCTCCTACTGCAGCTATACTACTACTACTACTGCTACTACTACTACTACTACTACTACTACTGCTACTACTACTGCTACTACTACTACTACTACTACTACTACTACTGCTACTACTACTACTACTGCTGCTACTGCTACTTCTACTCCCCTCCTTGCTCTCTTCTTCTTCTTCTTTCATTATTATTCGTGCCGATCCCACTAAAACAATTCTCATAAACATTATTGACGTGAGCTAATCCCGTTGCTGTCGGCGCTGTCGCTCGGCTCAGCTCGTCAGCGGCTCCATTAGCGTCGACTTCATCGATTTAACCGCAGATTCGGCCGAGCATCCTCCCCATACATTTCAATTAGAGCGCGGGCACGTCACCGGGAGCCGGCGCAGATTTATAAGCCAATACTGTTTGTTTATGTCGTGTTTTCGATCATATTTACAAAGAGGAACAGGAAGTGGAGGTTATTGGAGTTGATGTAATAAAAAAACGACTCGGAGCGTTTGCTGAAGGGGAGAGTGTGTTAATGTAAGACGAGCTGAGGAGAGGAGAGGAGGAAGGAAAGTTGGAGTCAAGTACAATGGAAAACGGGAAACAAGCAGCTGAAATCATAGTAGAAGTGCCTTTAGATCAGGAGTGTCAAACTCATTTTGTATCAACCGACTTTGATCCCAAAGTGTCCGGATCAGAAAACTCATGTCATATAAACCCCAAAAATAACAATAAGTTTAAATATTTGTGCAGAGAAACACAAATCTATTACAGAAATCTTTTTTAATTGATGAACTCTTTCTTTTACAAAATATTATAATATTATGAACAACCTGAAACTTTAAGAAAAATACAATTTCAACACAAAGTTTTAACATGAACTTGTATGTAAATATGAATAAGTCCATTTTTGTTGTAAAATCCTGCACTCGGCTCCACTTTTCTCATGTTGGACATTTTTCTGATGAGGGTGTCACGGTCAACAGTCAAAACGATCGTCCTTTAAGAGCGTTTGGAAAGAGACAAGTCTTCATTTGTGCTGCTCTGGTGGGAGGGGCCACGTACAGAGACGCTGGAGACGCTGCTGTGATAAACACCACAGAAAATTTATTTGAATAGAAAATATCATTAAAATATTTTTGTAGAAAATCAGCCGAGGGCCAGATTAAAAGTCTTGGAGGGCCGTATGTTTGACACCCCTGATTTAGAGGGAAAAATTATTCTTTGCAGTTTATGTCATCAACATTCACTGAGGGTTTGATCCTAACAGAAATCACTGCAACTCGAGTTAGACTTTAATCTGAGTTTTGTTTTAACTAGAGGTGTAACGATATCCAAGTCTCACAATATGATATTGTCACGGTCAGTGTTGGGAATAACGTGTTATAAATGTAACAAATTACTGTAATACATTCCTTTTTGCTTTAACACAGTAATGTTTCGGCATTACAGGGGAAAAATAGTAATATTTTACTGGGTATAAATGTCAGTAATGCTTGTTGCAGTGCATTTTTAACCTGGACTGAAGTGGTGGGTTTTTCTTCATACAAATTCGCTAAAATCACCGCGATATCAGCAGCTGTGAAACGCCGGAGACACATGTGCGTAGACCGTCGGGTGACCGCGAGCGAAAGGACCAACGCAGATTACGTAACTCTGGTACATGTAATCTGTTACTCCCCAACACTGGAGACTTGTGCAAAAGGACCAGTCTCAAATACAAATCTGAAAACTCACTCAAGGCTCTCAGAAAAAAGTACAAAATTATTAACCACTTGGCAGATAAATTTAAAATCACACCGATGCGTTTCAGCCCTTCAGCTTCATCAGGACAAACCGGGCAAACTATTTTAAACCGTGCGCAGGAATAGCTGCAGCTGAAGCGCTCGCTGGATCAACCGCTCAAGTGAAATAATCATCAGGTGCTCCTCCTGGGAGAGCTCGAGTTCACAAATAACTGGATGAAAACAGAAATAAATAGCGAAGCGTAATCGAGAGCCTCGGAACTCCTCTTTCATCCAGTATTTTAAAGATTCTGACTGTTCAGTGTGTGTCGCCATGGTAACTGTTGAACCTTCTGTCAGTAGAGATACATGCAGAGCGCCCCCAGGTGGAGTTACAGAGAGCCTGGATTCTGTTCTAAAACTCAAGGCTACTTCCTGTACTTGTAATTTTTTTTATTATATTAAATATTGGTCTAATTTTCATACAAATATTTATAAATCAAGGTCGTGTGAAGTCGGTGATGAGGCACATTGAATTGCAAATCCTTTTTAAGTCCGGCCCAGAGAGTCCAGTTATCAGCCTGAGTCGTCCTCCGAGCCTCTGAAGACTCCACACTCTCAAGAACAACAGAGGGATTAGAGCGAGGAGACGAGGAGACGAGGGGAGGAGACGAGGGGAGAGGGGACGAGGAGACGAGGAGAGGAGCAGGGGCGAGAAGTGAGGAGAGAGGAGAGGGGAAAGGAGACGAGAGAGTGAGGAGAGAGGAGCGAGGAACGAGGAGTGAGGAGAGAGGTGAGAGGTG